TACAAATGTCTGAAAATGTCCCTTGTATTTTCCAGCATATCCGATACCCTCGTAATTCAAACTGTACTTCTCAAAGGGTCAGCTGTCCACTCGCACCTACTATTAACATGTTATATTTACACAAGACATATACTTAGCATAAGTGCCCATCAGTTACAAAAACCTGCGTGATCGTTATGAAATCGTGCGCTCCGACTAAGGGAAGACAGCGCGCGTGCCATGGTGCGGTATCTGAATAATTAATTTACTTATGTCCCCGACCCTTACCGCGAAAAAAATACCTGCGAGAGGAGGCTCGAAATTCAGATGTCACATTGCATTACCGAGAAGACCGTTTCGTCGTGAAGTATGGAACCTGGCCGAAGTTACTATTACGATATCAATAAAAAGTTACTCATGGTAATCGGCCAGTGGCCCTATCAGAAGCCTAAAGACAAAGTGATTGCCTTTGCATTTATAATGGTACTTGCAGTCTTTGCATTCTTTCCACAGGTAACGTTAATTGTCGTTAACATTTTCTTTTTTTAGAATAAAAAATAAAATAATAGTAGAAACTTAGTAAAATTCCGCCCATGTTAAATTGTCTGTTTGCAATTGAAGTATCACAATAATTTTAGAAAAATTTTATGTTCTTTTATTCACGTGAATGCATTTCCAGACGGCAAGATTTTTCATATGCGAAAACGCGCAGTGTATCTACGAAACTTTACCACTATATATGTTATGTGTGGCAACTGTATTGAAAATTTTTACATATCAATTTAACAGTCGAAAAGTACGTTTCATTGGTATTTCAATCCTGAGCCACAGATTTAGCTTTATTATTACAAAATCTTATTGTTAGATTCTGTTGGCAATGTTGTTATATCCGCCGAGAATATTACATCTGAAATATCGAATATATCGGTGATGTTTGTAGATTAAAGATCTCACAGATCGCTTATTCGTAGACTGGGAAATGCTCCAAACTAAGGAAGAACACGACATTATGAGAAAATATGCCGAAACAGGCAGATGGTATGCGCTGATATACTGCTGTAAGTAACAGCTGATCTTACAATTAGCTGGAAATAAACGAAATTTATTTTCTTATGCAATCAAAAAACTAAAATAAGATGATATTCATATTTTCTCTGCTTTGTTTGAATTAAATAAAAATAAATATTATGAACTAGTTCCGACGAAAATATTAATATAATTTTTGTGCTATATTAAGGGGGCATATACCTTTCTCAGACCAAAAAAAAAAAATAGTATATTTCATTATTTTTTTCCGACGAAAGTATAAAAAATACGAAGACCGGGTTTTTCGCAAATAAAAGTACGTATTTTAGTGTGCATTTTCTGATTTTTGTTTTTTATTTACGATGGAATGTACTTCCCCTCAGCCCGTGACCCTAGGCTTTGCATGTTTTTGCGGTACTGGCGGAATCTCCGAGCTGGTTCATTTGAAAACAAAAAATCAAAAAAGGTCTTAAAATTTATAATATTTTTTAGTTCCTGTCAGATTCTCTTTGCAATTTTTGAATTATTTCTATTTGTTTTTTAAGAAATAAAATAAAAATTTTGGCTAAAAATCGATGTCTTAAGTTTGAAAGTTCGCCATTTTGTTAAAAATCAAAATTTCGGAAATCCCATCCAACAAAAACTAGAACTAGAAAATATCATAAATTTTAAGACCTTATTTGATTTTTTTTCTACAGATGAACCAGCTCGGAGATTCCGCCGGTACTGCAAAACCCTACATGACATGCAAGGCCTAGGGCGAGAAGCTGTAGGGGAAGTACTTTCCATCGCAAATAAAAAACAAAAATCAGAAATTGCACTCTAAAGTATTATACGTATTTTCATTTGTAAAAAACCCGATCTTCGTATCTTTTATACTTTCGCCGAAAAAAATCTTGGTCCGAGAAAGGTATATGCCCCCTTAAGGTAAATGTATCAATGCCGAAACACTTAACATCTATGTCTGGACACTCTTATCATTTTAGTTTTTAAATAAGTATAGAGATTACAGTCCTATTACTCGTGTCCGAGCGTGGTGACTTCTCTTCATATACATGTGTTGCGCACGTAGATTATACACATTGCACATGGAACCTACAGTTTAACGCCGATTTCGAACGGCAATTTTTTAGAGAAGTTTTCATGGCAAAACATACTCTCGGTGGTTTGCCATTGCCTGCCGAGAGGAGAACGAGCGAATAAAATTTTCTAGCTCTACCGGGAATCGAACCCGGGACCTTTGGGTCAGTATAGACCAGTGCGCTGTCTACTAGGCCACGCTCGTCTCCCTAGTAAATAAGTATAACGCGGATTAAAATCAAAGATAAAAATATAACACAAGAAAAATATTTTTGTCTTTGATTCTTTGATTTTTATTCGCATTATGACTTATTTAAGGACAAAAATAATAAAAATGTCCAAACATAGGTACGCGTGTCCAGGCAATGGTACATTTACCTTAATACATAAAAAATATTATATATTGCACAAGTTCGACGAAGCACAGAGACACTTTCAAAAATAATATACAACATAATATTCAATTAATTTTAATTTTTGATTTTAGTAGGCGCTTGTTTTGACGAATTTTGTTCTTGTTGCAGCATTTATTTATGTGACTACCGTTATATTTGCAACAACCGCTCTCGTGCCACGCATCTTGGATGTACTGTTTCCATTGAATACATCCCGTCCTGTAATGCTCCCATATCCGGCATATTATTTCGTTGACGAAAATCAATATTTCTACTATATTTTTTGCCATGAGTTATTTACCGGCAGTATAGGTATGACTGGATTAATCGCGCACGATACAACGTTTTTCGTATACGTCGAACACGTCTGCGGTCTTTTCGCCATCGTTGGGTAATGATCATTCATACCGAGAGCGAGATCACATCTCTTTTAGTTAGGAGAAAAATAAAATTTCTGTACCGAAGAGTACACATAACGTAATAATAATTTTAGCTCGAGTACACATTATTTGAAAGGAGCAGAAACTAATTCTCAAAACTTTCTAATAACGTCGCGCGAATACTTACAGATTTAGATTTGAGCATGTGTCACATAAACGTAGTACTATGGAAAAAAATATGTTCAATCATCCGGATGCCGTGTATCACAAGAATATTGTGATTTCGATTTACGCTCATCATAAGGCTTTACAGTGAGTATGTGTAACAAACGTAATATATATTTCTCTCGTTAATCCTAATGTAAATTGAATAATCTTTGATAAACCATGATAGATTACGATGTTTTTGCTTGACTTTTATTTAAATATTTAGCCATCATTATTATATCTTTACATCATAGATTTGCTGAATTTCTTGAGAGTACTTTTACGATATCATTCGCCGTGCAACTTCTGTTCGTTACAGTTGGCTTGAGTATTACTTTAGTACAAGTGAGTTACTTACGAGTAGGCAAATACTAGAACTCTGTAACCTAATGAACAACTAAAACAGGATTTTACCTTTCACGCGTTCAAGCTTTCGATACAGCTGCACAATTTAGCGGAAGCGCTTAGGTACTTCGTCTTCATTTCTGCTCAATTATTTCATTTATTCTGCTTAAGCTTCCTAGGACAAAAGTTGATAGATCACAGCCTCGAGACTTGCGACAAAATGTAAGAGAAAGAGACAATATTTAATTGAAAATAAATTATTTATCGATATATAAATTTGATCGCTATAAAGGATATCTTTTCCATAGATATCTTTTACATAAGACATTAATTATTTTCTACAATCAGTATTTTTATTTAACGTGCATATTTTATGCATTATTTTATAATGGCAATTTTATAGATATTATAGCTTGTGGTACACCATACCTGTGAAGGAGCAAAAACTACTCATGTTTGTGATGAGAAAAAGTATCGAAGCTAGTGTCTTGACCGCCGGCAAGATATACATATTTTCTCTAGAAAATTTCACAACGGTAAGACAATTAACATGACACACGTTTTAAAAATAAATAAGCAAATGTAAAACCCTTAACTGTTCTTTAGATCGTGCAAAGCTCGATGTCGTACTTTACATTACTATCGTCCTTTGACGTGTAATGATCGATACCTGGGTGATTACGCCAGCATGTAGTAAAGTATCCCTGAAATGTTCCACAGGAGTGTAATATTACAAATAATACAGCGAATAAAATAATATTTATATTTGCTATTATGTCATGAGACAAAGATAATAAAATTCTATTTTGTCATCGATATTGCTCTACTCTCTAAGTAACTAATTGTAAGAAGCCTTCCCTCCTGATTTCTCTCGGAGACCTCGAACACTCACATTTACAGGAGGGCTCTCTATCACTAGAAAGTATTCATTACGTCACGCTATTTTATTCTGATCGATACCTGCTCTCCGCAGAAAACTTGAAAAATGAGCCGCTTTTCAATGGAGCTGCACTATTGTCAAAAATATCACCGGTGTCCATAAAATCCATTAGTCGGTCATCGATCCACACGCACAAGTTATTTTGCAA